GGAGGAACGGTAAACAACAAACTGCGTGTGACAGATTAGCGGCGCAGGCTAAAGGACCTTCCACTGACACATCATTTCTCTCACTCCGCGAGTTTGTTTTGCGGCAGCTGTCACCAATAAAACAGAGAGACGGGAGAGAAGAGGGGGAGAGATGGGGGAGGTTGGCTTTTGTTCCAGATCGAGGGAGGTGGGTGGCAGGAAAGGAAGGAGAGTGACCTGTTTAGCAGTCTGGCATGAGCATGCACGGGAATATTCATATAGGAAAACGAGGCACCATTATGTCAAATATGGAAAAAATTTTTGCTGACTTTCTCATAATGATCTACTTTCTTTTTTTAGGGGCTGTTACAAATCGCTACAAGTTCCATTTGTGCACAGCGTGTGTGGGATAATATATAAAAGAAGTGAGCGTGAGCATTTGCTCTGGTTATGTGAACTTGCTGAAGCCCCATCTCGCAATGCTCCACCCAGCCAAGTTTTATCCATTAAAACAAAGAAAATCGTACAGCAAGCCACAATTTATGCCAAGTGTACTGATTCGCCCCACTGCAGTCCACTCTCTTCACTCTTTCCGGCCCTGATCCACATTCTCTCCATTAGCCTCATTGATGGATTCTGGCAGGGAACTTTTCCTTGAGCTCCCCTTGAAGGACGTTCTGTTGTCCTGCTGGGCATGTACTACCACCTTCAAACCACAACAGCCTATACATAATCACCACTTTGATTCAAAATGGAGAAGATTGTTTATTGAACTTTAGAGTCACTTGTTGATCAGACTACACCTTCGAAAAGTGGTCCACAAAGATATGTTGGGCGCCACCAGTTCTTTGGGAGTCTAGGTCTAGTTCTGAAAATCTATTCTAATTAGAATTAATTTTGTATTAGCACATGTAGCCGATGCAAAAGGTGTCAACAAAACTTGTCAAGGACACTTTTCAGGCCTGAATTTTCACAGCTGCAACTATTTGGCTCTGCTCATTGGCGGGTTCACACAGGCCACTCCAAGTGCTGTCCAATCACCAAACCCATCCATTACACTGTCCGGCTGTGGGCAGAGCCAGGTGAGGACCTGTCCTGTCTAATATCTAACAGCAGCGTGGTGGCTCCCTGTGCCAGCCTCCAGAGTCCCACTGTTCCCACAAGTGCCATATGGGCGGCCCGGCCTTATTCCATTAGCATGGGCGAGACAAGGGTGAGAGCAGGCCGAGGCCCTGGTCCTCCCGGCCCTCCCCTAGCACTGCCACAGGGCATGCCCTGCCCACCACCAGCTGCCAGGACCAGGCTAAGGGACAACCACAGTTCACTATCCGACAGTGGAACAGTCAGAAACACTTTACAACTTTGCTCTTTTCTTGAGCCGTTTTGTGAGGACAGAGAAAACAGTGTTATAGATGTTGATTTAGAGGTTACAGACATTTATTCCTTTGCTCACACTTTTATCTAAAGCAACTTATAAGCATAAGCGATTCATCCTGAAAAAACGATGAGAGAAGTGCTGATGTACAAAGTTCAAAAACTGCTAGAACAGTGTTTCACATTGAAGTAAAACAATATACAATATAAAACAGTAAAAATGGCATTATAGAGCAGCACCCGTAAATAATATTATTTGTGCATAGCAGCCAGAAATGCTACTACACAAAAGAGCGAAGGTGAGGTCAATAAATTACATAATTTGTTCATAAGTCAGTGTGTCCTGTTCACTATAAATAGGCTCTTGATTGTACTATATACAGCACTTCCCCACACCGGCAAGCCTAGGAAAGAAAAAAAAGCACTTATGGTCCCCAAAGCAGGAATTGCATGCCACTGGAGATATTTGAACAGGTCTTCCACCTGGACTGGGGACAGAAGAAGGGAGAGAGTTCAGATGTTCAGATGTTCTGAGGATCGCATGGGAATGTCAGACTGTGTTTCAGCCTGTACCTGCCACAGGACCTGAGGCCTGTTTTAATTAATCATAAAGCACTATGAATTATTAATCTATTATCACTGCGCATACATGTGATCATTCATTTGTCTCTTCTGCTGTTTTTAGCACCCTTAAGTCCCTGTTTCTGTTAATATGCTGCAATTCTGGGGAGAACTAAGGGTAGATTAACCTGACAGCACACTTTAATACAGGACATGATACAAAACTACTTGGATGTTCTTATTTCACAAATTCTCCAGTGAGAGTGTATACAAACAGAACAAACAGGTCAACTCATACTGTAGATGCACTGAGGAGTGAACAGCGTTGTTGGAAGTATGGGAAGCCAGGAGAGTTTGAATACATCTCTCGGAGACTCCCAATAAACCCAAATATCACATTTGAAAACATTTACAATTGCACAATACTTAGATTTGAAATGATAAGCAACCACGCACAGAACTCCCAAAGCTTGTTTTCTCAAAAAGTTTGCAATGCTCAATGACATATTTAAGCAAGGACTCTTCAAGCAGCGCCCGGGGTGTTTTTGTGCCACACTGATCAGACATCATTGAGCTCTCATTGATGAGAGATTTGGCTTTGGTCTGGCTGTGTGGCCCATGATGACTGACAGTAGGAAGGAAGGTTTCTCCTACCTACAGGCACCCCACCGAAGCTTCAGCTCAGGAGGACACAACAGATCTGAGCGAGAGCAACACCTGTCAGGTAAGCCTTCGCAGTTGACGGCACATGAGGTATGCAAAGCCCTCCACTCTGACGGCTAATCTCCGGTGAGCCATCGTGCAAGGCACCGCAGGCCTCTACAAGGTGCCACCGGGGCCAGAGCGCAGCAAACTTGCCTCTTCTGCGTCATACAGCGCTCACATCCTCACACCAGAGCGGCGAGAGGCAGAGGCAAAGAGAGAGAGGGAGGCACTGATGTGCTCTAAATACATTTCATTATCATCATGATTTTATCACTGAATGTGTTTTTTGTAATGTGCCGCAGCACGTCTCCCCAGGGTGCTGTCTGCACAGCTGAATAATTAAAACAAGTATGATGAACCATCCGTCACAGTTTCCCATAAGAGTTTGGGCAGGATATGTGCAAATGGCTCAGTTGAGGAGAGGTCTGCAACTGAAACAATAAAAATGCTCAGGTTAGAATATACTAATGCAGCCCTGATTGCAAATAATTCAGTACAAGCAGTTAAACAATATGATGATGAAAGCAGAGCGTTGCAGTATATACTAGCAGCACTAAGTGATAATGCATTGGTCATCATTTTGATTTTAGAAAATAAAATGAAAGAATTATATTGAAATTACATTAATCATCAGGTCCTCTATGTGCATTCTAAAACAATTAACAAATACTGTTTGTTATAAATATAATGCAACTAATATTTGTAAATTGTAATCATATTACAGCAACTTACCAAGTGCGTTTTGGAGAAAGCAAATCTCACACTATTTGCAATAATAAAACAGCACATCCAATCAGCCAGGCACAAACAAGATGAGGCATATTGCGTTCTGATACGCCAAGCAACCCTGTAGGACTAGACCTGTTTAAATGCGTGAAGTGAATCTAAGAGACAAGTACGAATGAATGTTTAATCCAACAATCCCACAAACTGGTGTCAAAACCCGTGTCAAAACCTAGAAAATTATGCACAGCAGGTCACTGAAATATTCATACTATACATGCTTCATTAAGACTGAAATACACAAAGGCCCCACATTCAAATTATTATTGAAACAAATGACAGATAGATGGAGGGAAGAGTAAAATATTAGTGCCACAATTACGTTTGTTTCATAGATTTGTACCGATTTGTTTTATTAGAGAGGAAACCGCCGTATTGCTAAATACTTCTGACAGCTCAGTTACTTAGCGTCTTGCGAGTGGAGTCTTTGCCAAAGACTGCATTCAGAAAGGAAACAGGACCCACTGCTCCTTTTCAACCCTTTGGTGGGAATGCTAGACAGATCAAAGCATGTGGTTGTTAATTACACATATCCTGCAACTTGGTCACAGTTAGGGCTCCTGACCGTTCTCATATGCTGCCACCAATTAATGATATTTCTCCTGTTCCCCTGACATCAGATGAATAGTGTCTGAATTTTTAGCTGATGGATTATGTCAGTTTATCAAATGACAAATGCTTTACAATTTACAATGACATCTGTAATTTAAGCACTTAGCACAGCTGAGACTGGCTCTCTGCCCAATATTAAGAACATAAAAAAAAAAAAAAAAAGGATGATGATATATTGTGGTTATATACCCACAATATATCAGCCCAAACTATTCAGTAGGGTATATTGATGGTGTTTTTTTTTACTCCTATACCTCTAGTAATTTTCATGATTTTCACCTCAAATGTTAATTTAATATTTAATATTTATCTGCTATAAATATTTAACTGCATTTTATAATTAGCACACACCACCACTACCCTCCCTCTCTTCATTTTAATTAAAAAATGGTAAACATATAGCACATATTGTGGCAATACTGTAACACAAGATATTTGAATTAGAAAGCAACTAAAATTGGATGCACAGATGTACACAGTGAAACGTGTAACCCTTCTCTGATTAGCCATGGTGTTTTTATATATTTTTAAAACATGAAGATAAAAAGCATGAGGTTATATCAAATTAAACAACAAAACATGCTGAATAAGATACACAATCTTGAATCAAATTATGAACTAGAATTTTAGTTTCTTACCACAGTACTGTAAATCCTCTTCCTTTTCTCTAAATCTTTACACAGAGATCTCATAAGGGTGATTGTTATGTATGATAATGATTAACTCCTATAGGTAATTTCTAATGGGTTAAAACTAATAGTACAGCTCACCTCTTTTACAACACCTTTCCTACACAGTGAACACAGATACATATTTACACTTACTGGGGCATTCAATATATAAAAAATAATAATATAGTTCATTATGACAGTATTATGTATATACTAATTTATTATTATTATTATTAGGCAAACAACGAACCACCTATTGTTTTTAGCGTGACTATTATCAATCTGGCAACCCTCATGCCGCACTCGTGAAATCCCTCCTCCTCCTCCGGCACCGTAACTTCCTGGAGACGGGCTTTATTTTTATACAGAAAAAATGGCGGCTTTAGGCTCAAATAGTACCTCGGAGAAATCAGGGACCGCGTCTGAAGCCCAGTCGGGACCGGATAATGATTTTTGGGCGGGACAGGGTCCAGTGGTTCTGCGGGATCCAGCGATTAAATTGCTGAGTCCGGTTAGCGGTCTTGAGCCCCTGTCGTGGGCAGAGGATCACAGACTGGCGGCCTCCAGCGCTAACAGCGTGTCTATCATGGAGCTGGTGTATGACATACACGGTCTCAGTCAAAATCTGTTGCTGCATCGCAGTCACATCCCCGTTCCAGACAGCGCTTGTGATCTCAAGGTAACTTAACTACTGTGCGCTCCTGCTTTATGGTACCAACTCACGTGCACTATTGCAGCTATGTTGCCAAGCTTAAAGGGATAGTTCACCCAAAAATGAAAATTCTGTCATTAATTACTTACCCTCATGTCTTTCCAAACCCGTAAGACCTTCGTTCGTCTTCGGAACACAAATTAAGATATTTTTGATTAAATGTGAGAGCTCTCAGACCCTGCATAGACAGCAACGCAACTGTAATGTCCCCAAGTCCAGAAACGTAGTAAGGACATCGGTAAAACAGTCCATGTGACATCAGTGGCGCAACTTCAGTTTTGCGAAGCTACGAGAATACTTTTTGAGCGCAAAGAAAACAAAAATAACAATTTATTCAACAATTCTTCTCCCCCGAGTTACGTCTTCCACCATTTTAGACTATCACAACACAAACGCACGCTTTTCCCTAAGCATAAACAAGGCTGATTATGCAGATCACGTTCATGCACACGCTTTCTCCTCTGAACATAAACAATGCTGATTACATCGATTACGGGCTTGGGTACTCTCCAAAATAGCGGAAGACGTAACTAGGGGGAGCAGAATTGTTAAATAAATAGTTATTTTTGTTTTCTTTGCGCTCAAAAAGTATTCTCTAGCTTCGCAAAACTTAAGTAATTTTCATTTTGGGGTGAACTAACCCTTTAAGCCATGTTTTGACGTGACATGACATGACGTTTTTCTATCTCAAGATGTGCAAAATAAGTGTGAAGTATCATTTTCGAGGAATTATCCTATTTAATCCCTAATTTTTCAAGCTCAAACTGAATTCTTTTTAATATGCCAAATGTTTGTTTAACTATGTATTTTATTTCTAATCATAATTGTAGCTAACCTGTGGGAAACTAATCAAAAATTGCTAGTTGAGCAGTTAGACGCAATAAAAATATGCAAATATTAACATGTACATTAATAGTAGCATATTTTTACCCCAGTCAGTTGTGGGGAGTGATAATCCAAGAATAAATTCACATTTCTTTTTACATCTACTTTTTAATTCAGTATAACAATACTGGAAATATTTATACAAGACATGGTATAAATATAGGTTTTCTAGTGAGGTTTGATTTTGGTTTGGTTTTGTTTTGTTAACCTCAATTTAAACTTAATTTTGTTATCAGATGTTAGTGGTGAGATTATCCCACCAATACCAAAATAAAAGAAAATGAAAATTGCAAGTAAACAATTTTACTAATCCTGTGAACAGATTATTACCTCACTGCTGTTAAGCATAAAAAAAAATCACTTTTATCTGGTTGGATACCAGTGGCAGCATGTTTAAAAAGGTAACATGCAATGTAAAAAGATTATGTAAATTAAAAAAGTAACAAAAAATCTGCATGAGTGGGAATCAATAATTATGATTTGGGTGAAGAAGTTATAAAAGAAATTGTTTAAAAATAAAAGTGACAAGTGGACACGATTTGCAAGCTGCGACTTTGTGCAAAATTAAATGTAAGTCTTTACAAAATTATAATTTTAAACTCGTTAGGTCTCATGAAGCATGAAATATTTTTCTAAAGTTCATTGATGTGTTTTTACATATTGTTACAGGTGGGCCCTGAAAAGGAAGTGCAGACTGTTAAAGAAAGCTTTGCAAAGAGTAAAGATCCTGTAGTAAGCCAAATGATATTGATGGACAGAGTCATCCATCCTCAAAGTGGACGTCTCCATGGCGTGAAGTACACCAGTTGGTCACCATTAGGCTGCGACAAATATGGCCGCTGTCTTCTTGCTTTCTTAACACTGGACAATCGTCTCACAATCCACAGCAGTCATTTGCGATTGCAGTGGACGCCACTCCTGGACCTTACAGAACTATATGGAGAAATGTTAAAATCCAGGATCTATTCTGCTCAGAATGACGGCTCACCGCCGAACTCTATTAAGCACTTGGATGAACTGCAACGCCGTTATTGTATGCAGACGCCAGTGTGCATGGAGTGGTCTGGTCTGTGCAGTATGCAGCAAGTTCAGACCAATAATGCATGTAGAGACGTTAACACTGTTCTTCTGGCTGTACTTATGGAGAACGGAGACGTAGTGGTGTGGCAGTTCAGCTTGCCCCCACAAGGAAAGGATTCAGTGGTGTCCTGCAACACCATAAAATCTGGCGTGTCGTCACCAAGTATGCTCACCTGGTGGGAATATGAGCACAGTGGACGGAAAATGAGCGGACTGATTGTGGGCAGCTCAGTTGGACCTGTAAAGATCCTTCCAGTCAACCTCAAGGCAGTGAAGGGTTACTTCACTCTCAGGCAGCCTGTGGTTTTGTGGCAGGATAAGGACCAGATACCCGTCCACGTGCTTGTTGCTCATCTCCAAAGCTGGTCTCAATGTTCACAACTCCCATGTCACAGGCCTTCATTCCACCCCTATCATATCAATGACCGTCTGTCATAATGGCGGGACTATTTTCACCTGCTCACTAGATGGTAAGGTGAAGAAGCTCACGCCGGTTTTCACAGATGTTGCTGTTGAGTTTAAACAGGAGGAGATTGCTCTGCCAGAAGGAGTTGCGGGTCGACGGATACATGGCATATCTGTCAGTCCAAATGGTGCCTACTTGGCTCTTATCTCCAATGAGGGCATGATCAATGGGCTCCATCCCGTCAATCGCACTTACCAGGTGCAGTTTATCACCCTTAAGTCTACAGATGAAACGGCTACTGAGCTGCTTGAGTCTCAAATGCACAATCTCTTCAGAAAAACGGACTTGCTGGACTTGCTGCGTTGGCGGATACTGAAGGACAAAAGCATCCCTTCGGTTCTGCAGAACAATCTAGATGAGAAGCTCCAACCCTCAGGATCCACCTACTTATGGCGCCTCAAGCTTTTCCTCCTCCGGATGCTCTACAAGTCCATGCAGAAAAGCCCTTCAGAGCACCTCTGGCGGCCGACTCATAGGGAAGGTAAAGCTGTGGATGAGGAGGCGGGTGGAGGTGAAGATGAGATGGCTGAGATCTCCGCTCTAGAAGAGCTCAGGCAAGGCGATGCCGAAAGGCAGTCCAGTGAGGAACAAATGAGGGAGATCTGCAGCAGGATTGAAGAAGTGGAGTCCCAACTGATCCACGAGAACATGAAGAAGGTGCTGGGCGAGGTGTACCTGCACACCTGCGTCACTCAGAACACATGTATTCCTACCAAAGGTGTGTGTGACTTCCTCACAAATGACCCTGCTAATGAAGACAGGGCAGCAAAGGTGAGCCCCCTTCTCGTTGTCTCCTGAAAACAAATTTAGTTTTTTTCAATTGCTTTACAAGTCTTAAAGGGGTGATCGGGTGCCCATTTTCCACAGTGTGATATGATTCTTTAGGGTCTTAATGAAAAGTCTATAACATACTTTGGTTAAAATTTCTCAATGGTAGTGTAAAACAACACCCTTTTTACCCTGTCAAAAACAGCTCTGTTTACAGCAAGCCGTTATGGTACATTTCTCTTTAAATGCTAATGAGCCCTGCTCACCCCGCCCCTCTCGTCCGTGGGGTGACGTGCAGTTCTCTGAGAGACTGTACATTTTAGCCACATTCATCGTGAAACTTGCTAAACTAGCACATTATTAGGAAAGGCGATTTGCAAAGATTCGTAAAAAAAAAAAAACTTATACTCACTTCTTCTGTAGGTGAATCTGGATCACGAATGATTCGCGCGAACATAAACACATTTAGGTAGATCGGGGGCACATTCCCTTAAAAAAAAATTTAATCCACTGCATCTTCAGCGGCTCAGATGTCAGGAGTAAATGACGACTGCTATGTTCATTATTACATCTAACAACAAAACACGTCAATCGCTTAGGAGATATTCTTGTCTACAACCGCTCCGGCATTGAAACAATGGCGGACTGATGACAGCTCACTCAGGGAAGAGCTGTGATAAAACCAAAGACTGACGCCACTCTCAATCAACAATCGTGGGAGGGGCCTGTGCAGAACTAGTCATTCTGCCAAGAATATGAGATTGGCTTGATATGAGAAAGGGGTTTGGATCTATCGAGATTTAAAAAAAAAAAGCACTGGGTGGATTTTTATCATTATAGGGTGGTTGTGTTCACATACTGCCAAGACACATTTAAGTTCAAACAACATGTAAAAATGAATTTTGCATCCGGTGACCCCTTTAACTGGCAAACTGTTTATGCTTATAAAAGCAGAACTGGATATTTTTGTGAGCATTTTAAGATTGTAAGGTCGAAACTGGATGATACAGGCATAAAATGTAGGTGTTTTATGCTTGTTTTAACTGGCAAATAAAATGATTCATGCAACGAATTAACTCACATTTTTAGAAATATACCTTAGGTGTACATTACCCTGCATGTCAATTTTTTGATGTTTGACCTTCACAGGTGCTGATAGGTCATATAATGAATAAGATGAACAAACAGACATTTCCAGAGTATTGCAGCCTCTGTAAAGAAGTTCTGCCTTTCACAGACTGCAAACGAGCAGAGTGCAAGAATGGGCACAGATGGCTCAGGTAGGACAAAATATGGTATATGTCATTATAAAATCCAAATATGTGACCCTGGACCACAAAACCAGTCATAAGTAGCATGGGTAGCCTATATTTGTAGCAATAGCCAAAAGTACATTGTATGGGTCAAAATTATCGATTTTTCTTTTATGCCAAAAATCATTAGGATATTAAGTAAAGATCTTGTTCCATGAAGATATTTTGTAAATTTCCTACCATAAATATATCAAAACTTAATTTTTGATTAGTAATATGCATTGCTAAGAATTTCATTTGGACAACTCTAAAGGTGATTTTCCTTAATATTGTGATTTTTTTTGCACCCTCAGATTCCAGATTTTCAAATAGTTGTATCTCGGCCAAATATTGTACTATCCTAACAAACCATACATCAATTAAAAATAAGTGAATAAAAGTATGAAATTATTATAATCTAAATATAATAAAAAGTAAGAAATGCTTAATGGGACAGAGTACTGTAATTGTCAGATAATACAAATGTGATTTTATTTTGGCTATATTTTGCAGTGCCAAGTAAAGTGACACTGTTCTTGGCTCACATCCGACACAGATTGCTCACTTTGATGAGCAGATTAACTTTTGATATTTTGTGTCATTTTAGATATAATTCATACCATATTCATTTTCTGCACTTAATCCTTATGAATAACATAATGTAGTCTGCTAGGCTCTTGTTTTGGATTTATGTGCCAATATCATGTCTTCATAATGATCAGACATGAAAAGTGGAAATTTTCACCTATAAAATCACTTTTTTTCCACTGGACTATATGTAGGTGTTGACTAGGTTTTGAGTAGATTTGACCCACTTTCAAACCCCTGGCGTGACATTTTATCCATCCGCCTGACTGAAAAGTGATTACTGCCCGTAATGGTGTATCAGGGAAATAGTTGCTTCATTGCTGTCATTCTGATCTCTGCCAAGTACTGATCTAAACCTTCCCCTGCCGTTTCTGTTCATGTGTCTTGCTGTCTCTTTCCTTCTCTTTCCTTCTTCCTCCCTAAGGTGTGCGCTGTCATATCAGGCCTGTCAGGGTGTGACATACCGCCGCTGTCTATTGCAGGACAGTATTGCCTCAGTAGCAGAGCCCGAGGGTGAGCCATAATGCTGTATCATAGCTCCATTCAGAACCACATTGCACCACACACTTGCACTTTCTGTAATGCAGCAGGAACATTGCACATACACAAAACAAAAACTCTGCTGCCCCACAGCAGTTCAAGCTTAGGATGTCAAATATAAAATATTTTAGAAAAAAATAAATTTGGGGGGGGGGTTCAAACATCTTGGCAATGCATTATTGTAAACAAGTGAATGTAAACGGGCTTGACGAATATGTCAGAATAATAGATTTATGCGTTTGGCCTAATAGTGTAAATACAGCAACTGTATAATTTTTTTTTTTAACTGTAAGTCTTTGATTTCAAAAATTAATTAATTTATTAATTCAAAAATTAATATTTAGCTTTTTTTTTTTATAAATCTTGCATGCACATTTTTTGTGGGGGGTTTTTTCTGTTATTTGTATCAAGTACTGACAAGCCTGTTGCAAGAATACATTTGCCAAATGCATCATGTTGCAGAAAATGGAGAAAGACATTATGGGCAAATTTAGACAAACCGCCTTGATTTCATGTTCAGTACATGTGAATGATTATGCATAATAACAACATACTTATCTCCTTTTCAGACTCAGACTGGATCAAGAAAATACTCCAAGGTCCCTGCATCTTTTGTGACTCCCCTCTCTACTAAAGCAGTGGGGTGAAAGATGACAAAATCTCCACGGCTGACTACTGAATTACTTAAGTGGGCTACATGCCACATAAATGCCTTTTATTACTTGAAAGAGAAACCTTTGAAAGTCTATAAAGTATTCACTAATTGTTTTGTAATATAGGACATGTGGGAAATTTTCTTCTCAAAGGATCTTTATTTTAAAGCCAAGCTTGAGCTCAAAAGTGATATATAATTTTTTATATCATGAAAACTATGACTGTATGTGTTGTTAAACTATTCCATTGTAATTTTTTTCTGTTAATGCTGTATATTTTTGATTTGTTAATATTATGCTGCCACGACATTCTACTTTTGCATTAAAAATGCACACTCTTCCCGTGGGTGATTTTAATTGGTTAAAATAAATCCATTTCCTAACTGGCTTTGGGAACATTTCTATGGACCTGCAAACACCAACTCCCCCATCTCCAAAAAATGACTTTTCCTTGGCCTAAAGGAAAAGAAGATGACTGTACAAGGAAATGAAAAACAGCGAGACAGAGAGAAAACTGTTTTAAAACTGATCCAGCCCTCCAAAGGGCCGAACTCTAATGAGATACAACAGTAATGAGGAATGGATCCCGGCCGCATATGTGATACCCATTTTAATTAAGATAGCGAGCTTGAGTGCATATTGTTAAATATAGTTAGCCCTTTTTTTTGTGGGTCGCAGGGAAGACGCATGCAGGCCATGAACCCTGACGGCCCATTCCACACAATGTTGCTAACATACTGGGGTCAATGGTAATCAAAGAAAGACTCAGGCCGGTTGGACCCTCAAAATGCTCTCCTCCGTGTCCGTTCTCATCTCCGGTACATCTTGTCGCCTTGCCCTGCGCTCTCTCTAGTGTCACTGAAGATGATAGCTCTCCTCAGGGCTAGTCGGCAGCCCTGTCTTAGGTTTCGGATGGTATCCCGAGATAAAGATGGGCTGATAATTACACACGATTCTGCTCCCATCTCTCGTTCGGCATCAATGAAAGCATTCTGTACCATCAAAGGGCTTAAAAATAAAGTAATCAGTGTGTTTATGTAGTTTTTCTTGTGTTTATTATTCATAGAGAGGGCCTTCATTACGATGCGTTCTGAAATGCTGCCATATCATTACAATTGGTAATGCAACATGTAAGGGGTGTTTGATTATGAGGTAATAATGTGCATTATGTATTAATCAAAGAGCAACTAGAACACAAAGGCAGTGCTCAGAACCTCAAATGCCGTCTGTTGGATGTCACAGCAAATTTGTTCACTGACATATTGCGATAAGCATCTAATAACATGAATTTGAAAGCTGTTTTTAAACGATGTAATAGGAGAGAAAATGAAAAGCTATTTGGATTTCAATTGTACACATAATATAGGGTGCATATTAATAGTCGCAGGTGTTAAATGTCACAGATTAGATTATAACTGCAAACGTGATTGAAATTCCAACTTTTTTCCCACCTGCCTCGTATTTCCTCTCCTAGATATTAGATTGTCAAATGGATCTTGGCCTTTGGGTTTGAGTGCTAGCTTTGTTGATAGGTGGAGACTTCTCCTGTTGAAGAGGTTAGCTCTGTTTGGCAGTACCTCCTACTTCTTTAATATAACAATCTGTCAAAAAACATTTCGACAATAATTACAGCCCCCCCCCCCTCTTTCCTCTTTGTGTGTACTCTTTCAAGACTTCAAAAGGAGGTTTCGTTCTTTTCTCTGTATGAAATATTCATAACTTCAGTGTTCGTGGCTTTGTGCTTTAAACAGATAACAGACAGCTTTTTTATATTATTGAATCTTATATTATTTTGTTAACATATTTTGATATACATCACCTTCCGTTAAGCACCTAATTTGTTGAGCCCAAACAATATGCTAAGCGTCGATCTCAAAGTCATTCCCTCTAACAACGTATTGCACTGAAGTTTTTATTTTTGTGCTACAATTTTTCAGTTTTATTTGTTGGACGTTTTGTGCTCAAGAACGATATCCTGGATTTTACCATCAAAAAGTCTGTATAATGTTGATTTGACGTGTTACAAAAATCACTCTGTGACTAATGTACAGTATTTCAGAGTTCATGTACATAATATGTTCATTAATTTTGTTTACAGTACAAATCCTTGTCTGTGTTTCTGTTTCCCATGTACATATTTATAAATAAACTTTTTGTATGTTTTTTCTACATTTGTTTCAGCATAAATGTTCAATAATGTTAATTTAATGTTTTTATCTGATTAACTAACAAAAATGTACAGAGAATATGCAAGTTGCCATATGAAAACACAGTAGTGCAGAAGTGCATTTTCTCAGTAACTTTTATAAATAGTAGTATCAATTTATTAATTTATTTAGAAATTACTATATTTGCATTTATATACACATAAGTTATCATTTGTATTTGTTTTATTTTGCATTTCTACATTTGATCCTTTTAGTAACAATACTGAATAACCCCTGATAATGATTCATTCCAAGTGTATAAAAACATTAGTTATCACTTTAAATATTAATATTAAAGGGGTCATATGATGCGATTTCAATTTTTTCTTTCTCTTTGGAGTGTTACAAGCTCTTGGTGCATAAAGAAGATCTGTAAAGTTGCAAAGACTAAAGAACTAGTAAGTGGATCATGACATGACGTTTCCTCTTTTTTTTCTTTCAAAAAAGTCAAACAGAAAACAAACTAGAACATAATGCGTATCACACAGGGTTACATATATTTAAAATAATTCTATATAGTATAATATAGCCTATTTAGGTCTGAAGAGGCCCCATAATTATTTCTGTTCATGTAATCCTCTTAGCAATTTTATATAAATTGCTTTCATTAGTTTTCTGACACCAAAAGTAAGTTTCACAGTATAATCTGCATGAAAATATGCATATACATGTATATGTATGTGTGATTACGAGTCATACTGGGGAAAAAGAAAATAGCTTCTAAAGCACTAGATTTTCTAATGTGGTTTCACTCCGTAGTGTATATACATCAATTTTCCCGCCTGAATACATTTCGTCTCAAGTATGCTTTGTAGAAGTGTTCCCTCAGACTTCAGTAATTCATCAGTAATTAAGTCTGTCTGGGGGCTGTCTAGGGACCCCTGGTTTTTCCTGCCGACTCTGAAATCAGGCTGTTAACATGGCCCTTTGACGGGTACATGGACCCGCTGAGATGGAGTCAGTGACCCGTGACTGGCTGATATGAGCGTATGAGGGAGTGTGAGATGTCAATAGTCAGTCTTTCTGCTTGTTCTGCGGTGTAGAGCAGCTCAGGTGGAACTAATGCAGAACCTCAGGAAGGCCATGACCAGAGCTCTGCTTTACTGCAACATTAATTAAAGTCATTCGCTACACACTGAACACACAACCATAGACAAGAGGAAGTGTCAGGAGAGTGTGTGTGTGTGACTATATATTTATGTTCCTGTAATGTAATAATTAAAAAAAATATAAAAGGATGAAAGTTACCATATTGGTAAACAGATTTGCAAATATGCATACGAAACCCTTAATTCCACTGAATTTAACCTCTAACAACTTTAAAGAAATGTTATTCTTATGCCAGAAATAAAAACTGTCAATACCAGCAAAGTAGACAATGTTTAAGCACATGGCACTTGCATCATGCACCTGCACAGATCTGTGTCAAATCCAATGATCATTCAAAAAAATTATCAAATTAGAAATGTCTAATAATAATCATCATCCAGTGGCAAAGCCATTTCTGATCCTGTCAGAGTGTGGGTGTTATATGTCAGACTCAAAAGGCTTACATAAAAAGAGCTCTGTTTTATTCCAGTGAAAACCTCTAACAACTTTAAAGAAATGTTATTCTTATGCCAGAAATAAAAACTGTCAATACCAGCAAAGTAGACAATGTTTAAGCACATGGCACTTGCATCATGCACCTGCACAGATCTGTGTCAAATCCAATGATCATTCAAAAAAATTATCAAATTAGAAATGTCTAATAATAATCATCATCCAGTGGCAAAGCCATTTCTGATCCTGTCAGAGTGTGGGTGTTATATGTCAGACTCAAAAGGCTTACATAAAAAGAGCTCTGTTTTATTGAATAAAAGCCATGAAAGGAAAGCCATTGGGCGTTTGCATTTCACACTTTCACCACAGAGACACAAGGAAGCCCTCATTTTGAAGATTGCTTAAAAATATGTCTCCCAAAGATCAGACAATGCCAAGATTAACCTGCCCTGCACAGAAAGCCCAGAAATGGTCGAAATGAGCAATCCAAACGACGGGAACTGGAGACTTAATGTGACATGACAATGGAAGCGGTTAGCAGTCAGTCATTCATATGTTTCCATGTTTAATCTGACAGGAGGTGGAAGCAGCCAGTCCAAATCTACAGCATGAGAGGAGCGGAGACAGATGGGACCCAGTCAGGATACAACTCGCGTGGATGCATTCAACTCCAACTCAAAGCATATGTCTTTTAAATCAGTTTCCGCATAAATTACCTGAATTTTCGGCAACCTGCAGATAGTGGATTAACACAGCCCTTTAAATGTGAATACAGCGTTGTATGCACCTGAAAAGGCCTTAAATATGATAATATGCTAAAAGTTAATCACTTTTCTTGAGAATATCTCTAAAGGGGCACAGCAGCTCGAAGAAGTCAGTAACTTACGACTGAACTGTAAATTCATTTGTCTCCACTTCATAAAGCCATGGAATAAAGCACTCGCTGCGAGGGAGCGTGTGTGTTTCGGTATATCTGCACTTGTAATTATTTCAGGGGAAGAGTATGAAGAATTTATAATGAGTATTTTTGTTTTTTAAAAAGAAATACCGGTAATAACTACTATGCAAAGCTATCGGAATGAATATTTATGACCTTTGCTATGAAATATTCATAAAGTCGGAGTAAAAAAAGAACACAAAGGGAGAAAATGGGGAAAACCGTGTGTGAGTGAGAAAAGTCACGAGAAGGGAGCCACTGCCTGGATTTCACAGTAAGAGCGACCGACAAAACCTGCGGATCGTGTATCTGACATTTATTAACAAAAGCGCCGGCAACATCCTCCTGGTTTTTTAACCATGCGTCCCTTCGTCCCCGAGGTGATGCGAGTTTCTTTCGTTCATCCGATCCTCCCCTTTCCGTCGCTCTGGTTCTCTCACTCATCCCCAACCTCTCTCTCTCTCTTCCTCTTGGTTCCATCTACCCAAATTAAGAAATTAATGAGGGATAGATTCTTTACCGACTGCCCCTGCAATGTTTACCACTGATGAAATTATAATGCTGCCTCAGCTGTATAATTTATAAGCCAATTAGAGGAAGTGTTACTTGATTTGATGGGGAGCCGACACACAAAGTACATTTAACTAATAGAGAGCAAGAGAAAGAGATCCGGGGAGAGGGAGGGAGGACAGCTGAGACTGAAGTCCTTGCGCCACTCTAGAATTACGTGGCTAATTGCGCTGCTTTATCTGTCTGTCACGGATAGCCATGCATATTTCAGTGTTCCCAAAGACTTTGATTGTTTGCACTCGTGTTGGGCCTGTAACAAGCAGAACAGTGGCCAACGTGGAGAGTAGTTAAAGACTGGCACCAGGAAGAGGTGGAAGAGGGAGGAGGGAAGCGAAGGGAAGAGTTCCGACTAAAACTGACGGATGAATATTACTGGAGAGCGAACGGAGCAGAGCACCACCAGAAAGATTAATGCAAACAGAAGAACTGTCTGGTGTAGTATAATTACAGCAAACTTAGGAACAGTAGTTTGCTTTGTAGCCAAAATGTGCATTTGTTTGAAAAGTCTCACAGCGAGGGGGGAAAAAAACACATTTTAATCAGTGGTTTTGTCTTGTTTTCTAGTAAAAATATTGCAACATCTTTACAACAAGATAAATTTACTTGAGAAGGAAAATTGTGTAAGATGACCTTTATTCAAAGAATAAATCTTTAAGTTTATTTTTATGCTTTATTAGCAAACTATTTTGTTTTCTCAAGAAAAAAAAAAATTTAACTGAACTCAACTTTAACATATTCGTCTTAATATTGAATGAAAGTAAATTTATATTGCTTGCTTATTGGAAAACTAGAATAAACAAATGTAATAAGACAGACACAATAAAAAAAAAATCTTATTTTTTTTCCATTGCTTACAGCCAACTGAGTCACCACTGCTGATTAAATAAGCATAAGAGAATAAGACAAATTCATGGAACTTACAGGGAAGAATTAATTCTAAACAATCCTTAGCTGTTACACTTTTTAAATACATTTTCCACACATACATCAATAGCTTAAAAATCATGAGC